TCTCGAAAACCTTCAAGGCATCTCCAAGTGTTCTTGAATTAAACACTTCCATTCTTCAACAATCATCTACTGAAATCACTCAAGGTGAGTTCATACCCCTACATTTTCATGATTTCTCAAGTTTTCAGGGGGTGAATACAAGTTAAAACACTAAGAACCTATCAAAAGTTTTCTAACAGCCTTCATCAGAAAAGTTCAACTCCATTCACGGACTGTTTTGGGCATCTTACACATTTTTGTTTTCAAAACTGTACAAGGTGCAAATAGTTCAAGTTTTTAGCTTTAAAATGGCTACTTGCACATCTCCATACGATTTTTCTACAATTTATGGCGATTTTTACAAAACTGCCTATCATTTCAAACAACAATCCGGGCCAGTCTGTGATTTTGGACTTTTTCAGCCAAGTTAGAGGTCATTATAAATTGAGATAAAATTTATGAGCAAACTAGACACATTTTGTGAACTCTCAGAATTTACGGATCTAGTTTTCGACTTCGTATGATTTTTCTATGATTTTTTCCAAATACAGGGCAGAATGGCTAAAGTTAGCCAACAGCATGTAAATATCGTAACACTTTGTATTATGTTGAGCAAAGTGTATAATCATAAGTTCTAATATTTGAATGTGTTTCCGTGTTAGTTTATCATTATGAACTGGAATTAAGACATTCATATTAAATATTAAATATTATTCATTCATTTTGGAACACGTGTTATTAGACTATAAAATGTATAGTTTGATAAATTCACAATACTAATACATTTCCATAAAAGAATTCATACATATTACATACATTTTAGATAAACTATAATAGGTATAGTTTATGATACATCACTCAACGCACTCGTACAAAAGGGGTACAAATACAAAGTACCGGGTCTCTATACAAAAAGGGGTACAAATACAAAGTACCGGGTCTCTATACAAAAAGGGGTACAAATACAAAGTACCGGGTCTCTATACAAAAAGGGGTACAAATACAAAGTACCGGGTCTCTATACAAAAGGGGTACAAATACAAAGTACCGGGTCTCTATACAAAAAGGGGTACAAATACAAAGTACCAGGTCTCTATACAAAAAGGGGTACAAATACAAAGTGCCGGGTCTCTATACAAAGCTATTATTATATTAAAACTACACATCCTCTAAAATTGTTAGACTTCAACTATAGTCGCTGAGCGTATATGTTGAGTCATATAAGAATTTAGTCTTGATTGGCCTAGAATTGGTGGTGCCCGCCTCATCTCCTGTTCCTCGTTGGGTTGTGGACCTAGGGCAGACCCACTATATTCAACGTTTTATCTAAGTTAAGCCTTATATAACTTTATATGTTGGACGATTATAGAGGAACTCTACGGATTACTCTAGGGTTCATTACAGCATCATGTAGGATTATTTCTATTCATACTTAACTAAGAAAATATTGGATTTTCTGGAAATCAAACTAAATCGATTTTACAAGGAAAAACGGTTTCTACTTCAAACAAAACTCTTATGAACTCACCAACCTTTGTGTTGACACTCTTTAAAACTACTTGTATTCTCAGGAAATCAGTGAAACAGGAAAACTTCATCGCTTTGAGGATGGGACGCTAAACCGTCAACAATTTATTTTGTCATCATAATGTAATTGCTTTTGAAACATGTAAACATATACTTTGGTGTAACTTTTGCAATTATATTTATGGTGGTTGTTTTTACTTTGAGCACTATTATACACGTTGTTGTGATACTGTACATGAAGTTCTCCACCCCCAGACGTTTCCGCCATCCTTGGTTTGGGGGTGTGACAAATAGAAGTGAACACATGATTATCATCGTGTGAAAAACATAAATCTTTTGTTATACACTTTGTTATATAATCAATCACATGTGATTTAAAACTATGTTTTCGAACAAGGGGTTTCTTTACTTTACACTGTCTTATCAAACAAACTACTTTTTAAATCGTTGTATACACTGACATCAAGTCATCAATATTTATTATTAAACTCATTCAATTGTGTTACGAAATTTCCTTTTAAACTTATATATTATGTATCCATATGTTGATATAAAAGTACCATTCAATCAGTTCAATACCTTGGAGTAGCAAAGGTGTACATTCATTTCTTCAATTACTATAACGGAACTTACTAGTAAACTATAATAGGTATAGTTTAGGAGAATACTATCGTATACAAATATTATAACATAGAATACTATAACCAAAGGAACATACTAATATACTATGACAAAGAGAACATACTAATATACTATGACAAAGAAAACATACTAAAATACTATAGTATAAGAACACTTACGGATCTAACTATACCAACGTTTTATTTACAAGTATGCATTCTTCATAACAAGGATAATCTTTTCATACAAAAGGTATTTCATTATATTACTTGTGAACTTGTTGTTAGCAATCATGTGAGACATATGGATTTGTTAGTACCAAAACGAAAGTCCCCATCTTTAACCAAAGTCTCTTGGAGGGAGAGCGCAAATTTGTGTATAGATCTATATGGGTTTGACGAACCCGCACCTAAAATGTAAGCTCCAGTTAGACCGGTAGGTCTGGGGTGACAAATGTCGACATTAGTACCACGTCTAGTATGGTTATGAGAAACTTACAAACCGCGGAAACAACAACTCTTGTACATAGTAATATACATTTAACTCAATCATGCTCAGGGGGTAATAACTATACCATGGGATATTGTTAGCATGTTCACAATTCGGGATAAACACCCTTTTAACCAGTTTTACTTAAACAAAAGACTCACAGGGAGTATTAAAAATATATTGGTTTACAGAGTCATCAAGTGCCTTGGCGATTTTATACATACATAAATATATTATTTAGGCATGAAAAACATCATTGTGTTATAGTTTTCGAACTTTTAAACTACCACACACTTATGGATAAAAGTTGGTCTTTTAGAAACAAATATTCAAAAACAGCCAGGCCTCGATAAAAGGCTACTTTTATACAAGTAGAAAATATGGGATTTTCTAGAAGTTTTCAAAACATATACAAACAATTACATTGAACAATTTCAAATGTTTTCATCATACTTATACAAACAATGACATTAAATACTTATGAACTCACCAGCATAAATGCTGACCTACACTTTCAAAGTAACTTGTATTCTCAGGTCACCAGTAGACAGGTACGATGACCAGGTTTTGCGAAGACAGAGCAGTCAAGACTCGTCTTTTATTTTGATTACTTGTTGTAATGTCTTATTACTATGAAAGAACACACATGTATTAAACTATTACTATTAATGCAATGGACGATGTTGTTGCTTGTTTACTACTTTGCATTGTTATGATACTGTATATGAAGTCATCCACCCTCGAACGATTCCGTCGTTCTGGTTTGGGGGTGTGACAGATTGGTATCAGAACATTGTTTATAGTGAATTGAGTGTATCAACCCATAAAAGATATACAAACTATAAACACATTGGGATTAAAATACTCTAACCAAGAGTTTATACTTTAAGTACTAAAATACTTAATTAAAAGTATACATTACCTGCATACATACTACAAAATAATGTCATACTAGAACAGAACAAAAGTATTTAAATTGTTGGACACAATAGTCAAACCTGGACAGTTATGTACTCATATGAGGAATTAATATACTATGATCAATTGTATTCATTTGTGATATGATACACATGTGCTTGGGAGTGATTGTGGTGTTGCAACAAACCTAAAACTTACCAAATTCTAGGTCCAAGGAATCCTTTAGAACCAAACATAAAGGAAAATACTATAGGAGTGTTCTAGGCACTATTCATTTAAGAATCAAACTTCATAAGAGCAAAAGACTTTTGCTTATAGTTCTACGAGTACTAAGTGCATGCAACATGGTTATATATATAATTATGTTTCATAGACTGAGAATGCATGACCTATGCTTTATTTCCTTTTCCTTGTTTGGATGTGGACATAGAGTAGGGTTATGTATTCGAAGGTCTATTCGACCCATGTGGTATGTAATTGGTATGCACTATGTTTTCGTAGGCCTGTCAAAACTTGCCACGACACGACAAGAAAAAACGACACAAAATGAAATTAGGATGAAATCGAAATTCGAATTCGTGTTCGTGTTAGAAAAAAAATCACGATGTCATGTTGTGTCGTGTTCGGGTTAAAAAAAGCGGCACGAAATTAGCACGAATTTGGCATGAAAGTAACACGACTCAAACACGATTAAAAGCCCACATATAACACGACAATAAAACGAGTTTGACACGAGATATAACCGACTTACGCTTTTATTAAATAATATGTTTGAAAATGCATTTATAATTATTTTAAAGTGTGTATATATATATATATATATATATATATATATATATATATATATATATATATATATATATATATATATATATATATTCTAATAAAACAATAGTTTTATTCTCCATTTGACATGTGTCACCATATTAGGCTTCATAATTAATACATATTTTATTTTTCTTTTGCCATGTGTCACCATATTATGTCTCTTAATTAATGGATACCACTTATCAACCTATTGATTATCCATTTCAAATTTCAAATTTCAAATTTCACTTTAATTACATTAAATTAATAACATTAGATAAAAATTAAAATAAAATTAATACAAATTATAAAGTGATATAATTTTACATATTTATTTAAATCAATGATTATAATTTTATATAACTAAAAAAATCTCTTAATTAATAATTTATTTAAAATAAGTCATTAATAATTTTGAATATTTTTACTATTAAAGTTTAATTAAATTTGTCACCGTAGTTCCCACGGATCATAAACTAATATATATATATATATATATATATATATATATATATATATATATATATATATATATATATATATATATATATATATATATATATATATACTAGCCGTTACCCGCGCACAGCGGCGGGGACAAATAGCTTCTTTCAACGATATTTTTTTAAAGAAAAATGTTATGTTCCAAAAGAAAGTTCATGTCGTGGGTGAGAGGAAGGGCGGTAGTTGTGATAGTGGTTGGTTGAAGGCGGAAGGAGGCAGAGCGGTTGTGGTGGTTATATTGTCTTGGTTACTGGTTAGGGTTCTTCGAGAGAGTGTGCGTATATTTCTTACTTTGAAGGATTACGAAGATAGATATTATGAGATGACTTGTTACCAATGTGAGAGAAGAGATCATCTATAAATTGTTGACATTGACCGCTTCAAATGGCTGAAGTGTTGAGATTGACGGGTTCAATTTGCAAATGAATTCTTCTATTAATTTGATACGAGATTTTTAGGGGATAAAGGATAGGGTTAAAGTTTTAATATTATTATATTATAAATGGGTTGTACTTCAAACTTAATAGTTTGAACGTCTTAAAAAAATAATATTATTATATTCAATCTATTATAGAAATAGTTAGATTTCTTTTATAAGTAGTATATATATATATATATATATATATATATATATATATATATATATATATATATATATATATATATATATATATATATATATATATATATATATATATATATATATATATATATATATATATATATATATATATATATATATATATATTCGTTTAAGTGAATCGAAGCGTCTTTTGGTTTAATAACATTATAAAATTCCAAGAAAAGTTCCCTCGGTTCTTCAATCTTCACTCTTCCGAGTTCCGATTCATATTTCATCGGCTCTTCAATCTCCATCTACGAATCACGCTTCTAAATTTGAGTAATTGGAGCGCATATTGTTGTTCCTTGTTATCGATCAAGCCATGATTCGAGCACGAACACTGTAGAGGCGTAGAGAACATCGAGTCATCGACCAACTTAGCTCTTCAGAAATCAGAAGTCTTCGAGTCATCTGCTTGTTCTTCATCGAGTCATCTGTAGAGGCGTAGAGCACATCGATTCCTTTATCACAGAAATCAGAAGTCATCTTTTGTTCTTCATCAATCATCACGGTAATGTTTTTCATCAATCAAAATTCCTTACTTTGTGTTATTTTTTAGTTCACGGTATCACAGGCCTAGGTATCCATCTGCTTGATTTTTACTGCCATTATTATTGATCAAACCCTTCTGTGATTCTTTGTTATCAATCAAACACTAATTATCGGTCAAAAATTCTTGTTGTGTGATTTGCAATAAATCGATGTGCTTAACATATTACCTTGTATCTACAAATTATGTGGTTGTGTTTTTTTCTCAAGAACATTGATGCAACAGAACCTGTTATGAAATTATATGTATATGTGCTGGAAGTAATGCTTATGCTTTTTGTATAGAAATTATATGTATATGTGCATTGTGCAGCTGAACCTGTTATTTCATGAACTGTTATTTAAGCATTGAATCTGTTATTTATTTCTGTTATTTCAGTAATGCTTATGTTTTTCGTATATAAATTATATGTATATGTGCATTGTGCAGCAGAACATGTTATTTCATTAACTGTTATTTAAGCTTTGAATATGTTATTTAAGCTTTGAATATGCTATGTCTTTCTGTTCAGATTTCTTTCTGTTATTTCTTTTTGTCCAGATAATATAGAGCCTGTTATTTTATTAACTGTTATTTAAGCTTTGAATATGTTATCTAAGCTTTGAATCTGCTATGTCTTTCTGTTCATATTTCTTTCTGTTATTTCTTTTTGTCCAGATAATATAGAACCTGTTATTTCTTTCTGTCTAGATAATATAGAACCATATTTTATCAGCAGAATCTATTGTAGTTATGAAGAAGGCAAAGCTTGATTCAACAATAGAACCTGTTGTAGTTGTGGCTCCACATGTATTTTTACTAACATTTCAACTTATTGAATTTCATCAAGTTTACTACTCTTTCAATTCACTACATGCCTAAATATTATACTTTTTTTTTGTAGGATGTTGACCTTGAAGAAGATGACATTGTTGTGGTTGATGTAGATGTTAAAATAGAAGGTGAAGAAGTTCATATCAAATCAGAAAGAGAACGATGGTCGAAGGTATGGAGGTTTTTTGAAAGACTTCCTATTGGTAATGATGGGAGGGAAAGGGCAAAATGTAAGAGATGCTCAAAAAGATACATCTGTGAAATGAAAAATGGAACAGGAAGCTTGAGAAAGTGTCTTAGGAGAGATACAAGTGACATAGCACAACTACTTATTTCAAAATCTGGTGGTTCAATGTCTATGAATTCCACAGTTTTTAAACCCGAAAAATTCCATGAGCTTGTGAGTGAAGCTATTGTCAAGCATGATTTACCTTTTAAATTTGTGGAGTATGAGGGGATTAGAGAAGTATTTCGGTACTTAAATGAAAATGTTGTAACTTATACTAGAAACACAGCTAATTCAGATGTTTTGAGCCTGTTTAACAGGGAAAAAATCAGACTTAAGAAATTACTGGAGTTAAACCTAGGTAGAATTTCTTTTAACTTTTGATTTGTGGTCTTTCATTAATACGGATGGTTTTTTGTGTGTGACTTGTCATTTCATTGATGAGGAGTGGAAATTGCAAAAAAGAATTTTAAGCTTTCAATATATGCCACCCCCACATAGCGGCGTATGCTTAACAGAAACGATTTCCACTTTATTGACCGATTGGGGGGTTGATAAAAAGTTGTTTACTATCACATTAGACAATGCATCAAGTAATGATACATTTGTCAATCTACTAAAAGGTCAATTGTGCAATGAAGGTGCTCTTCGTAGTAATGGAGATTATTTTCATATTCGGTGTTGTGCTCATGTGCTAAATTTGGTTGTGCAAGATGGTTTGAAAGCTATTGATGAAGGGATCGTTAAAATATGAGATTCTATAAGTATGTGAAGGGTTATCAAGCAAGGAGAAAGAAATTTATTGATTGTGTGAAATATGTCAATTTGAATCCAAAAACAAGTTTGCGTCAAGATGTTCCTACCCGATGGAATGCCACTTATCTTATGATTGAAAGTGCTTTATTTTATCGACGTGCTTTCTTTCATTTAGCACTTGACGATTCTAATTATTTGGATTGCCCAACTCATGATGAATGGGGTAAATTAGAAAACATTTTTAGATTCCTGGAGGTTTTTTATGAAGTTACGTGCATCTTTTCTAGAAACAAATACTCCACAGCAAACTTATATTATCTTATGATTGAAAGTGCTTTATTTTATCGACATGCTTTCTTTCATTTAGCACTTGGGGATTCTAATTATTTGGATTGCCCAACTCATGATGAATGGGATAAATTAGAAAACATTTTTAGATTCTTGGAGGTTTTTTATGAAGTTACGTGCATCTTTTCTAGAAACAAATACTCCACAGCAAACTTATATTTTCCTTCTGTTTCTATGGTTGAAAAACTTTAAAAGAAGAAATGGTAAGTTCAGATAAGTTTATGAAGGAAATGGCTTCCAAAATGTATGAGAGGTTTTCAAAGTATTGGTCCGAGTATAGTGTGATTTTGGCAATGGCTGCAGTTTTGGATCCGCGTTATAAAATACAGTACGTTGAGTTTATTTATAAAAAACTGTACATAAGTAAATCTTTTGAACACATTGATCGTGTAAGGGAGAGATTATTTGATCTCTTTAAAGAGTATGTTCTTGATTCACACGTGTCTTGTAAAAGTTCAACAATATCAAGGGGTGATTCAAGAAAGGTTGTGCATGAGAAGAAAAGTGACACGGTGTTTAGTAAAAGCACAAGAGATATGTTAAAGGTAAAAAACTACTTATTACATATATTGTGATCTTAACTTAATGTATAATTTTTTTCCTCTTAATAATTGTTTTTTCACAGGAGTTCACAACTTATGATAGTATAGAATTTGTTTTGTCTCAAAAGTCACAGTTGGGGATGTACTTAGATGAGCCAAGAAGTGACATAGATGAGGATTTAGATGTTCTATCTTTTTGGAAAGCACATCAATATCGTTATCCGAAGCTTGCTTCTATGGCTCGGGATATTTTAAGCATCCCGGTCTCCACTGTAGCCTCCGAATCTTCCTTTAGTAACGGTGGTCGTGTTCTTAATCAATATCGAAGTTCTTTGAAGCATGACATTGTTGAGGCTATAATTTGTACCAAAGATTGTTTGTTGGCAGCTAAAGGTATTTGTTTTTGTTACTTTCTAAGAATTTGAATTTCGTGTATTAATTAACTTTTTTTATTAATTTTATTTTATGTTTTTTATTTTGTAGGTGATGAAGAGTTATCTTTAGAAGAACTTACTGATGATGTCATGCAAATGGATAACAAGGATACACAAGTTGAGGACGTTTAGTACCATTTTATGTTTTTTTGTCGTGTTTCTCATTTTAAGCATGTATTAATTTGAAGATATTGGTATTTTTTTTTATTATTTTATCGTGTTGTCGTGTTTGTCGTTTTTTAAACATGAATTAATTAAACAAAAGAAACTTTTATGCTACTTTTATCGTGTTGTCGTGTAAATCGTGTTTGTCGGTTTTTTAATTAATTCGTGTTCGTGTTAGTAAAAAAAACACGACGTCGTGTCGGGTTGTTTTCGGGTTGTGCAAAAAAAATTTGTGTCGTGTCGTGTTACACAAATACACGAAACGACTGTCCGAATTGACAGGCCTATGTTTTCGTAGAAGGACACAGTAAAAGCCATATTACTTAGGATTAGTTGTAAGTTTCTCTTATAGAAACTTGTAATTGCTTATCGCTTATATTAGAATTACTAATTTCTCCTTACCCTTATTTCTCGCTTAGATAGCAATGGTTGGTTTTCACCTCCCCGACAACCCTTACTTTCCAGGCCAAGATAATGAAGGAGGAATAAATGCAGAACAAGAAGCAGAACCTGCAATTCCCCTTAATGCTGAACTTGCTGAAGATTTCCCGGAGGATCGTGAAGTCGAGAACTTACCTCTAGAAGCCCCAATCCCAATTTAGAACCCTCGTCAAGACTTTCATGGTCCGACGCCCTTATGGGTGGAAGGCTTAGAGACATGGGATCAAGAACAAAATCAACCTATACCATACAACAGAGACAGAAGCTTCTACAACGTGAGCGAAGGGGGCTCAGTAGACAGAGTTCTGCCAATCATGGTCCGCATGATTGCTCGCAATGAAATACAGGGCAAGACAACCATCAACCGAATCGTGGATTTTTTGCCAATACTAGGATGAATACACTTCACGTCCATCGTCTGGAAGATGCTCGTGACCAAGCATTGCGGGACAACGAAACTTTACTACAAGGATTAGCTGAAACTCGAGCCAAATTCATAGAACTCCGAGTACGCCATAGGGTGTACGAAAGATACCTACTAGATATGGAGCATCAGTGGGCTGAACTAAGGGTTCATCCGAGGGATACCCGTCACCGGTAGGAGATACTTTACCTTCCTTCCCTTCAGATTAAGGAATAGTCTTCCTATCTACGCTCTAAGTAACACTTTTTCAATGTAACTATTCCAGTACTGTAGGTACTTTTAGTTAGACCCACTACCAAGTCAGCTTTCCCCAAACTTATTACATCTTAAAAATCGATAATATTGAGAGTCAGCCAATTTCTGTGTCAATCCTTGTTCAAATACTTTCATTCTACTATCGCTAGAACTTTATCTAAATCTTACCCTAGTCAATCTATTGAACTATAGTAATTTAACTCCAGAATCATTTTTAAGCCTCTTTCAAAGGTTGGATCATATTATCCACCAACCTATAATACCCCGGCTTGAACGACAAATGTCTTGAGACCATTCTATGAACATACTTCTACTCCGTACTAGGACTGCATCATAGGGATGTAAGTCACACCTTCGATGACATACTTCTATTCTTTACATGAACAATCGAACTACATCTAGGTTCAACCGTACTCGCTCACGAATTCATTCTCTTTCCGTGTAACAGAATCATGTCGCCGAAGAATAACGATCAACCCATCAACCAAACACCAACTCTTCAGATTGATGCAGATACCTTTAATTCAAGCTGCAGTCTCGGTTACCGTGACAGTTGTTCTGACTCACCTTAACGCTAACAACGTGAATGTTAGCGGGATTGTTAACAATAATTCCAATCCAAGTAACAATCAAGTACCTCAACGAGCAACAAACTACCATAATACCCCGAATCTCAAGCCCAAGAATAACAAAAAAAAGTTATGTGCTAAGGCTAAAGGCAAATCACCCCAAGGGGCGAGCAAAAGACAACAACCTGCGGTAACCTTCGCAGCCACGACATATGTACCTCCTACTACCATCCCTTCTGGTATCCCAATTGTCCCCACGCCAGCTAGGCAGTATGTCGGAAACCTACCGAAATGCAATAAGTGCAGCTTCCATCTTCTGGGTAGTTGTCGTCCGTTAACGGACATACTGCCAATTGCTGCAGGACTCGGACCCAACACATTACTTCAACCACCAATGTTGAAATTTCTCGGATATTCCATTTATGCGGTGTAATGGGACATTTCAAGAGGGACTGCCCAACAGAGAAGAATATTGGGGGAACAGGAGGAGTTTGATCCCAAAATAACAAAAGGCTTCAAAGGATCCTGCTATAATAGGGGTACACTTCCGAACCACATTAATTATACTTATAAATTTTTAAAATACTAGTGCAACTAGAGTCATATGTTTTGCGAGATCCCATCAGTATTAGGTATGCTTGTGCTGCTTGTACCTGCTTGTTGGCAGTATACTTTGTTCGCAGCTGTAGTATCATAGATGAAATAATGTACCAAAACTCTTTAGTAAGTTGCACCATTGTGTTTTGTAATACCTTTCTGAAATAGTCTAACGCTAGTCGTTCTGACTAAGCCCGACATTGTCGTGTGACTTGAGTTGATCCGAACCTCACAGTGCCCATTTCGTGCGAAAATTCTTTTTCCTATAATCAACTTTCGAGCCGATCCGTCATTCTAGAGCGCCGAAGTACTCACGCGTAGAGTGCCATATGTTTCGTATCCTTCCCAAAATAACCTCAGCAAACCTCCCTGGAATACTACTCGTACAATACGTCAAGTGCAATCCAAAGACCCATACGGTTAATTGATCATTGAGGAATGTATATGCAAGGGTGGTACGTAATCAAGGTTCTACAGACTTAGGATTGATGATTCCACTTTAACTTCTTTTCCTTTTTTGGATGTGAGCTTAAAGAAGAATCATTTATTTGACTGCCTTTTTCAATCTTAAATTATATACGACTCGTATACGCGAAACTATGATTGATGAACTAAGTATGAGTTCTAATATGAACTTCATGACGGAGACTGCTTAAGACTACGAGTGATTGTGCTGCCATGCGAATAAACTTAGAAGCCAAATACATGCCCTTCCCGCCGAGCGGGACAAGAGAGATAGATGGAACAAAAGTACCTATCCTTTTTCCTTAATTCATGAGTAATCATACTTTCTTTTAGATCTTCACGACATCTAATCAACCACAAGGTTTTGACGTCATAATCAGTATGAATCGGTTAAGTCTACATCAAGCCGACGTCAAGCGCTTTGAGAAAGCAGTTCGTCTTAACCTCCCTATCAAAGAATCTCTAGTTATTTACAACGAAAAATCAAGTACGAACCTTCACACTAGTTCGTGTATTCAAACTCATAAGTGATTACGAAAGGAATATCATTGCACTCCTTGCACATATCGTCGAGACGAGCCGAGAAGTGAAGGAAATTCAGAACATCCTAGAAGTATGCGACTTTCCCGACACCTTTCCAGAAGGACTACCAGGATTACCACCACAACATCAAGTCAAGTTCAAAATCGACTTAGGTCCAGGGGCTACCCCAATAGCTAATTCACCTTCTCGTCTAGCTCCAACTAAGATAATGGAACTTCCCAGATAGCTTAACGAACTCTTCAGAAGAGGATTCTTTAGGCCAAGTTTCTCACCTTGGGGAGCATCGGACTTGTATGTAAACAAGAAAGAGTGTTCCAAACGCTAAAGTAAGCCTGGTGCACCGCACCGATATTATCCCTCCCAAAAGGGATAGAAGATTTCGTGGTGAAATGCGATGCATCCAACCAAGGGCTTGGTTGTGTTCTTATGCAAGAGGAAAGGTGATTGCCTATACCTCAAGACATCTTAAGACACAGGAAGTTAACTATACAACACATGATCTTAAGTCAGGAGCAACAGTAATTGCTCTGAAGATCTGGAGACACTACTTCTAGGGTACAAGGTGTACTATTTTCATAGACTACAAAAAAAACATTCAACATACATTCAGCCAAGAAGAGTTATCATACCAGTAAAGTCAAACGAAAGAAGCAAAGCCGTATCCCGATAGTGAAAGATTCGCTGGAATTCCAAGCGAGGACCTGAGTTCACTTAAGAACATGAGGAGCAAATGAAACTTCTATCTATAGCATGATTATCAATTATGCTTAAACTCTAAGTTCGGGACGAAATTCTCTCTAACGGGGGGATGATGTGACAACCAGATATTTCGAGACAATATAATATAACACCAGTCAAATTTAGGTCAAAATTTAACATTCCTAAAATCTTATTTGGGTTAAATAAAGTGGTAGGAATCGTATCAAGGTTTTCATACATATAAAGAACACTAAAATCCGAGTTATAACGAAGAAGTTATAACCATTTTAAGATTCCCAACAAAACCAGCAATACGGATAGACGTAAAAACGCGAAGTTTCGATGTAATCGTTTTTAGCTTTAAGTATCTAAATGAAAGTTGTAGATATCATTAATCCGTAAATGTACGTAAAAAGAACGTCCAAATCTGACTTCATATTAGGAAGTTATGATTTTTCCAAGATCTGGATATAGCAGTAGATAGCTAAAAAATCGAAATAGAGATCGAGAGATTTTTGGCCGATACAACCTAAATAAGAATCAAAGACATCAAAAATAGTAGTGCAACGGTGAAAAGTCTGACAAAAACGGACATCAGATGAAGAAGTTATGGATTTTTAACGGGTTTTTCCAGTACTGGCATGTTAAAAACAATTAATTAAAAATAAATTCAAAGTTAGTCGACGAAGTCTAAACGATAGGTGTAGAGTATATTCTCACCTACGCATGCATATAAAGAACGTCGAAAACGGAGCTCGTAAGCGAAAGTTACGGATTTTACAAGTTTAAGGCTCAAAATCCGAGGCTGTCAGGTCTGCCACGACGTGGCACAGTTGGCCGCGACCCGACAAGTGACTGAGGGCGTCCCATCAATGGAAGAGGATAAAATTTTGCTCACCACGACGTGACACACCAGAAATACCCCTATAAATAGAAGCTTAAGGGTGTCGGGTTTGGGGCTCATCTCTTTCCATCTAAGTGTTGTTACTCTGCGTAATTACCCCGAAAAGCCATCCCGAAGCCTCGGTTTTCACACTCAAGTTCCGAAGGAAGGTTCTACACTCCCGAGATTCCCGAGAAAATCAACTCTTCCAAGTCGAAGTTCTGCTCAATTCTCATCAATCATGTGAGTTCATACCCCTATAACTTTACTTTCAAATGTTTTATAAATGCATTTTATACACTTTAGGGTGGGGGGGGGGGGGAATACAAGTAAACACACGATTATCATCGTGTGAAAAACATAAATCTTTTGTTATATAATCAATCACATGCGATTTAAAACTGTGTTTTCAAACAAGGGATTTCTTTTACTTTACACTGTCTTATCAAACAAACTACTTTTTAAATCGTTGTATACACTGACATCAAGTCATCAGTATTTATTATTAAACTCATTCAAATGTGTTACGAAATTTCCTTTTAAACTTATATATTATGTATCCATATGTTGATATAAAAGTACCATTCAATCAGTTCAATACCTTGGAGTAGCAAAGGTGTACATTCATTTCTTCAATTACTATAACGGAACTTACTAGTAAACTATAATAGGTATAGTTTAGGAGAATACTATCGTATACAAATATTATAACATAGAATACTATAACCAAAGGAACATACTAATATACTATGACAAAGAGAACATACTAATATACTATGACAAAGAGAACATACTAAAATACTATAGTATAAGAACACTTACGGATCTAACTATACCAACGTTTTATTTACAAGTATGCATTCTTCATAACAAGGATAATCTTTTCTTACAAAAGGTATTTCATTATATTACTCGTGAACTTGTTGTTAGAAATCATGTAAGACATATGACTTTGTTAGTACCAAAACGAAAGTCTCCATCTTTAACTAGAGTCTCCTGGAGGGAGAGCGCGAATTTGTGTATAGATCTATACGGGTTTGACGAACCCGCACCTAAATTGTAAGCTCCAGTTAGACCGGTAGGTCTGGGGTGACAAATGTCGACATTAGTACCACGTCTAGTATGGTTATGAGAAACTTACAAACTGCGGAAACAACAACTCTTGTACATAGTAATATACATTTAACTCAATCATGCTCATGGGGTAATAACTATACCATGGGATATTATTAGCATGTTCACAATTCAGGATAAAACACCCTTTTAACCAGTTTTACTTAAACAAAAGACTCACAGGGAGTATTAAAAATATATTGGTTTACAGAGTCATCAAGTGCCTTGGCGATTTAATACATACATAAATCTATTACTTAGGCATGAAAAACATCATTGTGTTATAGTTTTGGAACTTTTAAACTACCACACACTTATGGATAAAAGTTGGACTTTTAGAAACAAATATTCAAAAACAGTCAGGCCTCGATAAAAGGCTACTTTTATACAAGTAGAAAATATGAGATTTTCTAGGAGTTTTCAAAACATATACAAACAATTACATTGAACAATTTCAATTGTTTTCATCATACTTATACAAACAATGATATTAAATACTTATGAACTCACCAGCTCAAATGTTGACCTACACTTTGAAAATAACTTGTATTCTGAAGTCACCAGTAGACATGTATTCTGAAGTCACCAGTAGACAGGTACAATGATCAGGTTTTGCAAAGACGGAGCAGTCAAGACTCGTCTTTTATTTTGATTACTTGTTGTAATGTCTTATTACTATGAAAGAACACACATGTATTAAAATATTACTATTAATGCAATAGACGATGTTGTTGCTTGTTTACTATTTTGCATTGTTATGATACTGTACATGAAGTCATCCACCCTCGAACGATTCCGTCGTTCTGGTTTGGGGGTGTGACAATTTTCAATTGGATTTTCTGATGACAACAAGAGCCCTTTTGTTTAGATGTTTTCGAAAAACTTATGGTGTTGCAATAAACAATGGAGTCACAACCAAGAAGATAATTGCAATTGTAGTATGGACTTTTAAAAAGATAATTGCAATTGTAGACTACAAAGCTGAGAGCGTAATGAACGATGAGTTCATTAAATACAAGTTCAAAGCATTGCAAGGGAGCAACAATGAAAAGTTCATAATTCTTTTACAGATCTACCTATGATGAATCCCCATAACTAGGTTACAAACTTTTCTATTTAACGCTAGATTTTGATCCAACTCTAGTCAACCAATTTTATAGTTCATAAAATCGAGTGATACAAGCATATTAAGATAGAATGATAATCTAACCATAATAATACTCAACAATAAATAAAAAAGATAATTACTTTAAAACATAAGGATCTTATCAAGCAATCATAATAAATAAACGACTAGATTAAATCCGAAATCATGAAATCAACACATAGGTTCAAAGTTCATCTATTCTAAACCAAAGTAAAGAGTTTTTAGCCCATAACAAAGTAAAAACATAGATAAAATCGTAGTAAACGTTGCTTGACATGATTGAACAAAGCAAACTGAATGATTAAACATGTTTTAACTCTCAATCTCTTCAATTCTCACTCTGATCTCGATCTCTAGTTTGAGGGTTCTCTAATCGTTAAATTTTGAATAATAATCGATGTATCCTCTAGAGAATGAAAGAGGTTCGTATTTAGAATTTTTTTCAAAAATTATGCTACAATGGTGATGTGATTGCCATGATGTGGTGTCGTCTCCTCTATGTACCCTTTCTGTGTACCCTCCAAGTAATCTGTGTTGTACTCTATTCGGTAAGTATATCGACCGTGACACCTCACCGTGGTGTGATAAGTGTTTTGCCAAGATGTGGTTTTGATAGGTTGTTGACTTTTTGCTCCTTGATGATTTTTTCCAGCTTCTCAACTTCCAACACAACACTTCAGCTCCTTTTATTCAGCTCCTTTTCACCCGATGATATCTTCGATGCTACAAAACAAATTCTAAATATTATAATTACCAAATATTTCATTTAAGACAAATGTACCTAAATTTTATAAGTTTATATAAAATATATGACTAAATATGGCAATATCATAACATAATTTAAAATATTTGTCAAAACTTTTAGAATAATAAAATATCAAATATTATAAAACGTTGCAGTTAAATAATCTTTTATCATTTTTTTGTAACTAGATGTTTAAAATTGTTATATTTTATAGTTTTGGAAAAAATACACGACGAACTTATTTTTAAGTTTTATTGTATGGCATTAAGTGTCTATTCATACTGTACTATTTTTATTTATTTTAATTATAAGGTCAGGTAACTTTTTAAAAATATGATGTGTTAGTTAAATTTTATTTATTTTAATTATAAGGTCATGTAACTTTTAAAAAATATGATGTGTTAGTTAAATGATAAATGATATGAGGGGGGTTAAAATAACATTTTAAAAAAAGATAAATGATAAATTGTTTAATTTTAGAAAAGAAAATTGAAAAAATTAACCTAGAGAAACTATTTTATAAAAGTTATTTATCAAATAAAAGTAAGTGGAAAAATAAGGTGAAAAAAATTAAAAAAAAAAAAAAACTTTTGAGTTAATAATTAAAGATGCTCTAATTTATTAAACAAAATGTTATTAACTTAAATCATCTCCAATCATTTACCATTTTAAAAGCTCTCATGAAAATATCTACTTTACCCCACATCTTTGGAAAAATCTTTGAGAATATTTTATAAAGCTTTCTCATATAATTTGTTAGTATTAAGCATATGTAATATTTCTATATTTTAAAATTACTAGAAAATAACATTAAATACAAGAAATATATTACAATACATGTAATTAATCAAAATCTACAAATTGTCAAAGTAACATTTATAAATTATATAAAGACCAATGTATCAATTCTATGTAATCTCAACTATATATATATATATATATATATATATATATATATATATATATATATATATATATATATATATATATATATATATATATATATATATATCAAGTTTTATGGACACAAAACTAACCAAATGAGATTCAAGGAAACAAGAAAAGGAACCCCTCAACATCGCCTTCATTAACTTTCAAAGCAGAAACAACATTTAAAACTGTAACCATGTCCGATTTATACTATACAACTTCATTTCATACGATTAAACAACCAACGTTGCCTAGCTTAATATGCAACCTAATTGATTTTTCATTTCAAGAAGAAAAAAACTGTGGTAGAAAATAATTGATTAAGATATGAAACTTATAAGAATATTGACATTCGCACAATGCACCTGATTCATACTACATAAACCTGTGCATCATTCCCTTATGCTTTTCCAAAATCTCCATCATAGCTTCAGTATATGCAGCCTCTTCTTTATCTTCAAAACCATCTTCACTGTTCATAACAAAATCATTTCCACCCTCGAAACCATTCATCTCAATTACACCAAAATATATCCCCTTCATCACGTACCCTGAAACTCGCAACTTCAAAACCGGAATATAACAGTTATTTACTATATCAGGAACCTCTACACGATTGAACACAGTTTCCGAAGTTGAATGTACCCATTCCTTCACCCCACTGAGTTTTTTCCCACTCAGAGAAAGCCTTCCTCTTCCCTTGGAATCAGTAACAGAAACCTCTTCCAACAATGGCAGATCCTTAACCAAGTACAACATCATCATATGCCTAGCCGTTACATCCTTCAGACACTGATACGGAATGCGACGTCTTTTGTTTTCATCTTCATCCCCATTTCCATTGAGATATAATAATCCATCGTTATCAGAAATTGAATTCGGGAACAGAAATATAATCGATTCGATTCTGTTACCGAACTTAACCTTCCACTTTAACAAACGATTATCGACAGCACGAAGACCCGAAGATAGAAGTTCGATACATAAGGACTTGACTCCTCTAAACTTGATTAAAAACCAATAGGCAGATAGAAAGGACTCACCGTATAACGACGAAATGATACGCGCAAACGACGAACTTGGGGCGACATCACTGACGGTGTTCTTATTGGAAATGCGAGGGTTTGAGAGAGGAGAAGCGAAGGAAATGGCATCGACTTGAAGTACAATCGAGGAGAAACGTTTGGAAACGAGATAGCAAAAGCAAAGGGTTTTCAAATCGATTAATCTGTTTAATACTTGGAGGATGATTTCATCTGGTAAACGACTGATTGAAGACCATTCATTTGCGTATCCTTCGCGGGATTTCTCGAGGTTCCTCAAAGTTTTGAGACAGAAAATCGATGGTGTGCTCATGGCACATTGTAACCCTGATCATCCTCCTGTTAACTTTTATATTGATGACAAAAAAAGGTGCTCTTTTTCGCACGATTAAGCGTGTAAATGTGATGGTTACTTAAAAAAAAAACATCCACCATTTGTAATATTTAATTAATTTTCTACAATAAAGTTCTCTCCTCAGTTTAGTCTTCTAGATGATGTTACTTTTTATTATACATTAAATTCGCTTGTATTTTTATTAATTTTCCTATCAAACCTTATGCATTTTAAAAATTAAGTTATATCAGGGTTTTAAAAAGTTTGTTATGGCTCCGCTATGACACGTTATAACTCCAAGGCTTGTATCTATCGCAAAACTTTACAAAAACGTCAACTTAACTCATATATGAGTATAAAATAGAAAAATAGTTGAAAATACATATAAAAAATATTAATTATATACAAAATTGCCGCCTTAAGTCACGCCTTACAAATGACGTGGCTCACCAAGAGTCAAAAAAGTTTGAGACTTAACATTGCCGTTAAGTGACGCCTTACGTTATTTAGAACCTTGATTTATATCATTACTATAATATAAAAAATCTTTTTTTTCTTTATTCTTCATTATATATATATATATATATATATATATATATATATATATATATATATATATATATATATATTAAAGCCCCTCAGAAATAGTACTATGTTCCTAGACCACCTCTAATTTTGTTTTTTGTTTTTAATATTTGTTGTAAGCATAATTGTTTTAAAGTGTTGGAGCTTTTCTCTTTCCTAGTATGTTCAAATCCACGTGTTTTGATGCCTAATAGCAATGGAGAAGGATTGAAGAGATAAGGAAGTATGTCATGGATGGTTCTCGAAGTGAAGGTGGTATCACCGGTGATGTTGGTCCACCACCATCTTCTTAGAAACCTTCGCTTTCGCCTTTGTCTGCTAGAGTGAAACCCCATTTGCTTGTTCGGAGAAGATGAAGTCATGATGTTCAAGGGTACAAGTGAAGGAAGCTAAGGTTGGGACCACATTATTTATGAAACATTTTTTAATAAATAAATAACAAATAAACAATATAAAAGAAAAAAAAGAAATATAAAAGGGTAATATAGTCTTTTTATCTTGGACAGGGACTAGACGTGCAACAAAAATATAAAATAAGGATTGTCCGAGTTAAAAAAAATTATTAAGGACCAAACATGCAAATTACCCTAAACCATAGGGACCATCCGTGTAACTTACCCTTTTAAAAACAATTTCTTTTATAAACATCTTTTGTTCTTTTTACAAAAAGGGAAAACTACAATAAAGTCCCTACATATTGACCTCATAATCGATTTAGTCCCTATATATATTTTTTATTCAATTAAGTCCCAAATACCGGTAATCGTATTTAATTTAATCCTTTGACCCGGTCAACAGGTCATCCAACTTTCAAAAATTACATTTTTGGCTCAGATTTCAAAATTTATTACAAATTTGATCCAAAATTTACACTTTTGGCTCGGATTTTAATTTTTTTTTACAAATTTGGTCCAAACTTTACCTTTTTTGCCCAAATTTTAGAATTTTATTATGAATTCATCCTAATTTTAGTTTTTTTGCAACTTTTTTTTTCAAAAAATTGTTTCTAATATGTTTTTTCTTTATAAAATCATATTTATACCCAAAAAAAATGTATTTTCACATAAAAATCTTATATTTTCTATATAAAACTTTTTTTAAAAAGTTTTTTGTATATGAAATATCTAGTTATAAAAATATGTATTTATTTAGTATATAAATATATATAAATTTGTTTTTATAAAAACATGTATACACACCTATCACCTTTATATATATATATATATATATATATATATATATATATATATATATATATATATATATATATATATATATATATATATGCACACAAATAGGTGTGTATCTATATTTTTTTTTATAAAATCGTGTTTGTTTATATTTTTTTTTTTATAAAAACGTGTTTGAATAATTTTTTATATAATACGTGTTCGTATACATTTTACAAAAACGTGTTTGAATAAGTTTTCATATAATACGTGTTTGTATATATTTTATAAAATCGTGTTTGTATATATTTTATAAAATGTATACATCACATATTATATAAAAAAATATCCAAACACGTTTTTATAAAAAAAATATATAAACAAACACGATATTATAAAAAAAATATAGATAAAATAGGTGTTTGTATACTTTTTTTTTGTAAAATACGTTTTTGTATACATTTTTTTTTATAAAAACAGATTTCTATATATTTATATACTTAATAAATACTTATTTTTATAACTAAATATTTCATATACAAACTTTTTGAAGAAAGTTTTTATATACGATATTTTATAAAAATAAATACTTAATATTTAGTTATAAAAATAAGTATTTATTAAGTATATAAATATATAGAAATCCGTTTTTATAAAAAAATTGTATATGAAATAATTAGTTATAAAAAATTGTTCAAAAAGTTTTTTGTATATGAAATATTTAGTTATAAAAAAACTTTCTTCAAAAAGTTTTTTGTATATGAAATATTTAGTTATAAAAATAAGTATTTATTAAGTATATAAATATATAGAAATCCGTTTTTATGAAAAAAATGTATACAAAAACGTATTTTACAAAAAAAAAATGTATACAAACACCTATTTTATCTATTTTTTTTTATACAATCGTTTTTGTTTATATTTTTTTTTATAAAAACAGGTTTGAATATTTTTTTTATATAATACGTGTTTGTATACATTTTATAAAATGTATACGAACACGTAGTATATAAAAAATTATTCAAACACGTTTTTATAAAAAAAATATAAACAAATACGATTTTATAAAAATATTGATACACACCTATTTGTGTGCATATATATATATATATATATATATATATATATATATATATATATATATATATATATATATAAAGGTGATAGGTGTTTGTATACATTTTTTTATAAATACGAATTTATATATATTTATATACTAAATAAATACATATTTTTATAACTAGATATTTCATATACAAAAAACTTTTTAAAATAAGTTTTTATATAGAAAATATAAGATTTTTATGTGAAAATACATTTTTTTTGGTATAAATATGATTTTATAAAGAAAAAACATATTAGAAACAATTTTTTGAAAAAAAAGTTGCAAAAAAAAAACTAAAATTAGGATGAATTCATAATAAAATTCTAAAATTTGGGCAAAAAAGATAAAGTTTGGACCAAATTTGTAAAAAAAAATTAAAATCCGGGCCAAAAGTGTAAATTTTGGACCAAATTTGTAATAAATTTTGAAATCTAGGCCAAAAATGTAATTTTTGAAAGTTGGATGACCTGTTGACCGGGTCAAAGGGTTAAATTGAATACGATTACCGGTATTTGGGACTTAATTGAATAAAAAAAATATATAGAGACTAAATCGATTATAAGACCAATATGTAGGGACTTTATTGTAGTTTTCCGATAAAAGTCCAAAAAAAACTTTTAAAAAGATATCCAAACACCTCCTCTACATAGCTCACGGAGTCACGGTCGACCGACTGGATTTTGTCTTCCATCCACTTTTAAACAATCATCTCCCTTCTGCAGCGCCTTCTCCTATCCTTTCTCCTTCTGATTTCTTCATGGCTCATCACTTTCACAAGGTGGAATTTGAAAAGTCCGTTACCAAGAAACCTTACTTGCACCCTAATCGTAACGCAGATACGTTCACTATTAATTTTCTTCAAGGTTTTTTAACAGTTTCTTTGTTTATTTTCTGTAAAGCGTCTGTGTAAGTGGGAAAGATGGCCAGAAATGGTGGGAATGGTCTATTGGTCGGAAAAACTCCGGCGGGTGCAACAACAAACAAGGATAAATATAAGAAGACTCCGGTTCACCATCTGCCGATTTCCCCATCGACTGATTCGTGAATACTGAAGATGACACACTCACACTAGTCGACAGAAGTCAGGAAGTATTGAAGCCAGATCTTGACGCAAGCAATGTAATGCTTTAATGGTTTGAATGATTTTCTATTTGCCGATTTCTCGATTTTCCGTTTTCACTACACATCAGGGGTAAGTGAAATAACGCTTTTTCCATTTGCTATATAATCACAAACTCCCAAAACTCTGTTTCTAGGGTTTCACATTCCACATAGCAAAACTCCCAATTATTTTCCTTAGAGAAAATCAATATTTTCTGATTTATATTGACTTTTTTCATAGCCAAAGGTTTATACATACAAGGCGTATTCTCAGTAATATTTAAAAGTGACTTGAATTTGACTTGATTTTCAGGTTGTTGTTGTTGGGTGCTCTGCAAAATCGCTTCTTCAGAGAATTTAGATTGAAAGCCACAAATTATGGTAGCTTGAAATACGGTTAAAAGAGGAAAAACCATACTCAATCTTACGAATATTGTTGATGTTGTACACTTAGAATGACCTCATAATGGAATATTTGTATAAGAGACTTTGTTGTTATAGTAGATGTTTTCATCATGCATATACTTATTTATCTATTGATACATATTCGTGATAGTGTTTTCTACGTTACAAGAAGTTAGGTAATTTAGTTGAAATTGACTAATTTGCTATTCATTGGTTTTCCTTTATTTGAATCTTCAAGAAAATGGGTTTTTGTACACAAGTTTCTTCACTGGGTTTCCTTTTATTTAATACCGCTAATTTATTTTTTTGGCCATTGAAGTCTGGTTTATTGAATGATAGTAGCCATCTACAAAATATTAATATGATTTAGTTATGTTGATTTCATACATTGGATATTTGATTATTAATAGAGAGGTAGGCACAACAAACACATCGGTATTTTAGATTTTTTTCTTGATGTATGGTACTCACTATGAATATTTTGTTACAATGTGTTAGTGTAGATATAGAGGATTTGGAAAATACACCAAAAGCTGAATTTTAAAGATACTTTAAACTGACAAATTTGAATAATGAGGTGTTATTTCTGAATATTGCTTTAGATTTTATTTATC